ACATTCTGTGGAAATTAATTAAGTAAATCTCATACAGATGACGAATGACTTCTATGGTATGAAGTTTACTTTTTTCCCCTCACACACGTTGAATAAAATATATTAAATTAGTAGTATCTTCTTTTCCCCTTTTGACACAAACAATGCAAATAATACTACTTTCGAGCAGTCTCTCATTGTGCTTTTTCCTCCACTTTCTGAAAATGCATTTATCTGGATATCCAAACAGAGGATAGCAAATCTCCAGGTTTTCCGTTTTCCCTTCTGTCATGATTAGAGGGCAAAGTAAAATAATTAAAAAACAATTCCAGGAATAAAGTGGATACATTGAACCTGGACAGTACTTGGTTTCTTGATTCTCTTCAGGTCAGTTGTTTTTTCTTTTTTTTTCTTTTGTTTTTAGCTTCAGAATAACTGGAACTTAATTTTTGATCCCTGAAGTATGAGGACCATTGAGTGTGCGTACCTTGCTTTTTTATCTACATTTTACTTTTTGAAAGAGATTGATTCAAAATTTTAAGTTAATGATCCTATTGGAGAAAAAATACTACCAGGCATTTGTTCAAGTCTTGGTAGTGAAACCTGATATTTGTGCCACTAGAGGTAGCAGATACCTCGTGAAATTAGTCGAGATGCGCACAGGCTAGCCTCAAAACCATGGTTATGAAAAAAAGAATTTTAAGTTAATGAATTATAAAATGTGCTTACTTCCATTTTTTTTTTCGTCTGTCCAAATTTTGGTGGCCACAGAGGTACCGCTACTTGTGCTAGTAGGGTAACAAATATCCCGTGGAATTAGTCGAGATTCACTCAAGCTAGTCCGGTGATCATAGTTATGAAAAAGAATTTTAAGCTAATGAATTATAATGTGCTTACTTTCATTTTTATGTGCGAATTTAATATAGATATATGTATTAAAAAATTTGGACTATATACCAAATAAAGAGAGTTGGAGTTGAAACTAATTGATGCCTCAATAACCCAGAAAAGTGGGACACTATCCTCTTAAGGCATTATGATTTTTGATTTATTATTTGCTCTGACCAAATATGTGCTTCTTTTGTAAAAATGGACAAAAGTTATGAAACACATAACTGCACTTTTACCCTTTTGTAGTTTTTTATAAGTAGAATTATATGGGACCTAAGGCTAAGTGGATGTACGTTTTATGGTTATTTTATTAGGTGCTAATGTGGTCCACTATCAATGGTTTCTAAATAAGGCGTATGGAAGTTGGCTTTAGTCTAGCCAATGCTTGTTTGTTTTGCTAAAATTAGAATAACAAACTTTATTATATTAAGTTATTCCAATAAATTAATCTGGACTTCAATTTTTTAGTCAGTTCATGACTTCTTTTACTTAAATTAGCATTTTCATCATCCTCCGTCAAAACACATTTGATGGAAATACTTGGACAAATTCTGAGACGGTGGGAAATAGAGAGAAGTTAAAAGAGAACGAGCATAACCTTGGAAACGTACCATGAGTTTAGTGTCAAGTCCAAAATTTAGACGATGTGTTTGAGTTGTGAGAGTATGTTTTGAAATGTATATCTAAAGTTAAAAGAGAACGAGCATAACCTTGTAAATATACCATGAGTTTAGTGTCAAGTCCAAAATTTAGACGATGTGTTTGAGTTGTGAGAATATGTTTTGAAATGTATATCTAACTTTATCAGTACTTGTTTTTCGCACATGTATATAGGTTCGTTCCGCTTTTAAAATCGTTTTGAGTCTCATTTTGTGGTGCTTTATTCATCTCTACTTAGTTCTTTAACTTTTATAAAGCACTCAAGTAATTTCAACAAGACATTTTAAGTGAGCTTTGTCTACCTTCACAAGGTAGGGATAAAGTCTGCGTACACTCTACCCACAGACCCTACTTTTTGGGGTTACATTGGGTTTGTTGTTGTATTTAATGTGAGCTTTAATAGATGCCTGCATTAGAAGAGGCATGAATAAGTTCCTCAAACAGAATAAAATCAATGCCTGATAAAATCTTAAAGCCCCTTTTGAGTTGAAGAAAGTATTAGGTTCTCTTTCATGAACTTAAAACTAGAGAAACATTACAACATTTAAGGTTCTATATTCCTCCTGGTGAAAAGATATGTCCCATGTTAGGAGAATGACCTGCCTAATTCTGATAACATACCAAACTGTAGATGCTGTTACTTTGTGTTGTCAATTGTTCAAGCTTTTCATACCAGCTTTATTCAAATTATAGCGGTCATTAACAAATCGTACTTTCTTTAAATCAATGGTTATCAATGATCCATTTGTCTATTGGTGAGAATATAAAATTGTGCTGTAGCTTCTAAAACCAGAATGTGCTAAGCAAAAGCTTACTTTTTGACCACCACTAATACTCTTATAGATTGAAAAACTTTAACCTGTAGTTTCCTGATTATCTATATAATGGACAAGCACGAACTTTCTAATGTAGTACAAAGTTCAACAAGATTTGGAACTTTATTAGCACTAAAAGTCTCCCTCTGCATTGATCTAATTTGAAAGATTGGTGTAACTTCTTAATTTATCACATGGTTTCACTTCTTATTATGGCCTTGATTGTTTTACTAATGAAATCCCAATGATTGTTAATCTAATATCTTGATTTGGCTTGATTAACAAGCTTGAATTTAGTGGAGCATTTCATTTGGTGATATAACTCAGTTGTATTTCCGCTGCATTACAGGTGAATTAGCTGTTCTTATCTAGTATGGGTCATTCTAGTGTTGAGGCAGAAGAAACCAAAGAGATGGATATCAGAAGTTTTTCATCCTCGCGACACAACCAAACGCCCTATATTCACAAGGTTGGAGTCCCCCCAAAACAGGACATATTCAAGGAGTTAAAGACTACTGTGAAGGAGACGTTCTTTGCAGATGATCCACTGCGTTGCTTTAAGGATCAACCGAGGTCTAGGAAGTTTGTCCTTGGTTTACAGGCCATATTTCCAATATTAGAATGGGGTAGAAGCTATAACTTTGCTAAATTCCGAGGTGATCTTATTGCTGGTCTCACCATTGCAAGCCTTTGCATTCCTCAGGTAAAGAGAATGTGTTACTGTGCTAATGAAATCAAGATTGTAAGGATCTTTACAAATCTCTTATCAAAAACGTTCAACTGTAATGACAGGACATTGGCTATTCCAAGCTTGCAAATTTAGCTCCTCAGTACGGATTATGTGAGTTTCCAGCATGTTATTAACTTTATTTGAGTTACTAGACTATGAAAACCCCTTTTAAATATTTTCTTTGTTTGAAATCCCAGACTCCAGCTTTGTTCCGCCTCTGGTTTATGCCTTCATGGGCAGCTCGAGAGATATAGCCATAGGGCCTGTGGCTGTTGTCTCACTCTTGTTAGGTACTCTACTCCGGAATGAAATTGATCCGACTACAAATCCACATGAGTATCTGAGGCTTGCATTTACAGCTACCTTTTTTGCTGGCATTACTCAGGCTACTCTTGGGATCCTAAGGTGATTAATACAATAAGTACCAAGTTTAGGACTTGTAATCTTGTCCATTCGTTTCTTTGTTTCATTTGCTTCGCTTTCTTGGCAGATTGGGCTTCTTAATTGACTTCCTATCTCATGCTGCTGTTGTTGGATTCATGGGTGGTGCTGCCATTACAATTGCCCTTCAGCAACTTAAAGGGTTTTTAGGCATCAAGAAGTTTACTAAGAAAACAGATATCATATCTGTAATGAAATCAGTGTGGCATTCAGCCAACCATGGAGTAAGTTTTCTTGCCACTAAAGAGCATTTTACATAAGATGTGTTTTATGGATAACTTGAAATTTATTCCTTTTTGTTTTATTTTTCAAAAATTTGCAGTGGAACTGGCAGACAATTCTCATTGGAGCAACCTTTTTAACTTTCCTTTTGTTCGCCAAGTACATTGTAAGAGTCCTAAGTTCTGTGGACTAAATTATATAAGAATTTGGTAGCCTTTAATTTCCTTGGTTCTAAAGTAACTTGGCAACCAGGGTAAGAAGAACAAAAGGCTGTTCTGGGTACCTGCAATTGCGCCGTTGATTTCTGTCATTCTTTCCACCTTCTTTGTCTACATTACTCATGCTGAAAAAAAGGGAGTCGCGATTGTAAGTGCTTGTTTTAGGTGCCTCCTGCTTTCATTAAAATTTTCTTTTGGAGCATAATGATCTATTTTTAATCATTTCTATGACAACCTTACCAGGTAGGACACATTGAGAAAGGAATAAATCCTCCTTCCGTCAAGGAAATATATTTCACTGGTGACTATCTCTTAAAAGGGCTTCGGACTGGTATTGTAGCTGGCATGATTGCATTGACGGTAAGCAAATTATTAAGGGAAATGTCGAAACAGGAACCTTCACATTTTTCTAGTAAATATCGGATCTTTCACCTTCTCTTTTATAGGAAGCTGTTGCAATTGGAAGAACCTTTGCTTCAATGAAGGACTACCAGTTGGACGGAAACAAAGAGATGGTGGCGCTTGGAGCTATGAATATTGTTGGCTCAATGACATCCTGCTATGTAGCTACTGGTAAGACAAATTAATGAGCAAATGGAGTATAAGTAAAGATATAATGTGTTTTACTTTCAGCACCTACGCTTCATTTTTAATCAGCCAAAAGAATCAATGCCAAATAATCTAATTATCTTTCATCTTATACACTATCATTCCTGAATTTTTATGTTCTATTATCAGGGCAGCAAAATAATGTGAAAAGAACTCATTTTTAATATAAATATTATTCAGTTATTTTCTCTTTCATGTATAAAGGTTTGTCCAAATAGTTGATCAGTTCACCTCGTGCAGGCTCCTTCTCTCGCTCAGCAGTAAATTACATGGCTGGCTGTCAAACTGCAGTTTCCAACATTGTCATGTCTGTCGTTGTGTTCCTAACTTTGGAATTCATAACCCCTCTTTTTAAGTATACTCCGAATGCAATCCTTGCTGCCATCATCATCTCTGCTGTACTCGGCTTAATTGACTATGAAGCAGCAATTTTGATTTGGAAGATTGACAAATTTGATTTTGTCGCTTGCATGGGGGCATTTTTTGGCGTGGTTTTTGCCTCTGTTGAGATTGGTCTTTTAATCGCGGTAAGGGCATCCAGCAACTTAACTGTTTACTTGAGAAAAATTATCATCATTCAACAACCAGAGCTGATCGATAACATTTTATCATTAAATAGGTCACAATATCATTTGCTAAGATTCTCCTCCAAGTCACAAGGCCGCGAACAGCTACTCTTGGTAGGATACCCCGGACAAATGTATATAGAAACATTCAGCAATACCCCGAGGCAACAAAAGTTCCTGGTGTATTGATTGTGAGAGTAGATTCAGCTATATACTTCTCAAACTCTAACTACATAAAGGAAAGGTAGGACACTTGTCTTACTTTTAATCTGAAGTTTTTTATATTGACAAGAAATAGCTAGGAACTTAACAAACTAACTTGTTATTCAGGATATTGAGATGGTTAACGGATGAGGAAGAACAACTAAAAGCAGCTGGCCTTCCTAAAATTCAATTCCTGATTGTTGAGATGTCACGTAAGTAGAGTTTACCTTAATTTGTCGCTGAAATTAAGAGCATGTTATCCTACTTAGCGACTCCCCGTGTTTCTTCTTTTCTACTTGCAGCTGTTACTGACATTGACACCAGTGGCATCCATGCCTTGGAAGAGTTGCTCAGAAGCCTAAAAAAGAGAGGTGTTCAGGTAATGATCTTAATTAACTTCATAATGTAGAAAATGTTTGATCGCGTTTAGAGCTGTCAATATGGGTCGGGCCGGGCTAGCCCAGCCCAACCCACGTAGGCTTTAGCAATTGACGGGCTGGGCTGCGCTAGCCCACCATTTTGATGAGCCTTAAAATGGTCAGCCCACCCCAGCCTTATGTGGGCCGCGGGCCCCACGGGCCGGCCCATCATTTTTAAAAATATAATTTTATATTTTTTCTTTAAGTTCTGACCTAAAAAAATAATAAATATTTAAAAGTTGAAAAATATCTTATTGGAAAAAATTCGCAAAACTTAATAACTTTTTATATTATTCCACTATATCACAATAAATACTAAAAAAAGTAAAAGACATGACTATATTTCATTCACTAATAGTCAAAACTTAAAACAAACTATTCAAGAGAACGTTCACGATGCTTATGAGATATGCAACAAATCATCTTCATCAAACACATTTGAATCCGTTTGTGACAAGGTTATCTTCACTTTCATCTACAATTCATACGCAATATTAATTAGTTAAATATTAAAAATAACTAAAGTTTAAAGATTAATAATATTTAGATTCACATAAAAAAATATTACCAGTTTGAGTTCGGGAAAACCTGTGCAGCCAATTTCGAGCAATAACAAGTGTTTGGACATTTTCATAATAAATGCAACTTCTGTACTTTGTAAGAACATGCCACTAATGCTAAATGTTGATTCCGATGGTATAATGGTAATAAGATGCTAAGTACATCATGCACCATCATTGAAAGATCAAGATAATTTCTAGAATGGTCCTTCCAATACATGACAACATCATCTCTTGAAACTTCTCAAGATCAAGTTTTGGTTCCTCTTAGTAAAGATCCAATTCTGACTTTCCATCTCTAAAGACAGTATACTTTTTATTTTTTATATATTTTAAATAAATATTTTATTAGGCCCACGGGCCGGGCAGGCCCAGCCTCAGTCAAGTCTCACGGGCCATAGACTTACTCGGGCCGGGCTTAAAAGCCTCGTTTTTAAACGGGCTCCAAAAATTCTAGCCCAGTCTTGCTAAATCATGGGCTGTGCTTGGCGCTCTAATCGCGTTCTAGCATAATGGCTATTTGACTAAATTACTCTTTATCTTTTCCTTAAACCAGTAATTAATCACTATAAGCCTTTTTGGAGTAGTGAGGTCAAAACCAACAAGTTAATGCCTTCTTGGATTTTCAAAATGACAACTTGGAATTTTTTTTTGGTAAATCGACAGATAAGAGGACCGTAGGGAGTAGTATTTTAACCTCAACAACTACAATTTTGTGTCTAAAAACCTTACCTTGTTCATTTCTTGAATAGCTTGTTCTCTCGAACCCGGGAAGAGTGGTGATTGACAAGCTACATGCATCCAATTTTCCAAGTCAAATCGGCGAGGACAAGATATTTCTCACAGTTGCAGATGCTGTGCTAACCTGTTCACTAAAATTGCCAGAAGAAGTTTAACAATGTAAAGAATGGATGCAAAAGAAAAAATCAACCAGAACCAAAATTGAAAAGAGTACACATATAGAGTGGTAGATAAAGGGACTGGATTCTATTTTTAGCGAGTGGTGGGATCCTCAGAAAAGTGATATATGATATGATATACTAATCCCAAACAGCCAATTGCGATAAGGAGTTGTTATTTGGTTTTTAAAGTTAGTACATGTTAGCCATGCTTTTAACTTTTATGGTTAAAATACAGTCGTCCATAAGAATTCCTTGTTTTTGCTACAGGCAATTATGTACTAATTAAACTCCTCTTGTGATCATAATCTGTAAAATATATGAGATGGTTTGCTGATAACATCTACAAAACGCTGTGTTTTTAGTTTTATAGTTGCTTTTTTTGGGGTCCTGTCCTTGTATAATAGATTGTGTCAGTGTTGATTATTTTCTCTAGCAAGTAGCAGACATATCTACAAAACCAAATATGTTACGGATAACATAACTATACTAGACATAAGACATTAATATGTTTTTATTTTTTATTTTAAGTGTTTAACTTCTATATATCAGGATTCAAGTCATCTAAGGGATAATACTGTACATACTAGGCGGAATTAATTACTTGGAATTAAAACACTCTTTATCATTTAAGACATAGCCACCATATCTATCTCCTGTGTTTTTGTCTAGAATGTTGTATTATAATATTTATTGATTTTTTTACTCGGTCAATCTAAAAGTTCTTGCCCTCGTCCAGCAGCTTTGGTCTCACAAAATTATGGTGTGGGTTTTTTTGAAAGTAAAGATAAACGTGTGAATCGGAAATGGATGGAAAAAATTAGAGAAAAATAAAAATTTGAATTTTTTTTTTTTTACAAAGGAACTTTGTCCCCCATTAGGTAGGAAGAGGAAAATTGTTGTGCTTACATATAATAATACTTCTTCTAGCTCTTAAAAATTTCAGAAGAGAGCAAGCGCGATGTCATCGTAGATCAGTTTCAAATTCAAATTTATTTTTTGCGCGGGATTTTAATTTAATTATGAGTGAATTAAATTCCTTAAGTAAACATAGTTTTTTGTTGGGCTCAAAAAAATTTATTGTTTTTTTTGTTTTCACATTTTTATTTGGGAAAGTTTACTATGAAAAAAGAATTAAATTTACCCTCCGTTATATTTTTTGTACAATGAATCGAATCTCTCTTCCATTAAGGTTGTTCAAAGGTGGACATCTAATCCTACACGACATTGACATTTTGGCCACGTGGCATGCTACCTTACTACACAAACCCATTTTATTCCTCTCATTCACTTCTTCTTCCACTACTAACACCTCCTACCCATTTTATTCCTCCCATTCACTTCTTTCTTCCACTACTAACACCTCCTACTCTTTCACCATTAGTACCACCATCAACACCATCATGATCACCATTTTCACCATCTCCACCTTCACTTTCTAGACCGAACTTAGGGAAAAATATAAAAAATTGTAGCAAAATATTTTGTTAATATTTGTCATGAGTTTTTTTTAAATTTTTTTTTTTTTTTCCAAAAGGAAGAAGAATGTTTTGGTGATAAAGCGGAGATTACAAACATGCATTAAAAAAGAAATCAAGAACAAATGACAGTTCAGTTATCCAGCTACTGGATTGGTCGAATTATGCTTTTCCTTTCTTTTTTTTTCACATAGTGTTAGTACACATTTTGGCACTGGATTAATTGGGATTAACGCCGGGAGTCAAACAAGCATTTACAAATAAAGGAAAATTTTCGTTCCTATATCATAGGAAACTATATTACCAAATATGTTTATAGTTTGCATATTACCCTTCATGCTAATAGTATTTCTACAAAATATAGATCATGCATTAAATAAGGAATCATTGTAGTTGTAGGCTTCCTTATTTAGGCGCGCTAAAATTGGAGGATTAAATATTCTTGTAGATCTTCCAAATGCAAATCACGCACATTAATCTTCTTCGTCAGTTTCGTTTCAAATTTAGCGTCTCTACATCAAACGCAATTATTCTTCTATAATTCAAAAACGAATTGATTATTCTTCTACAATTCACAAATCAAAAACGACTAAATCTTCTACATCAAAGGCAATTATGTCCAAATTTCAGTAATACAAAGCAAAGGAAAAGAGAGCAACAATTCCACCATTGACAGCCATTAAAAAGCTTGAAAGCTTTGAATTCAAATTTGGGTTTTCAAAAATCATTATTTGTTTGGATTGGGTATTGTTGAAAATAATTGGGAATATGATTTGGAGTTTATATCTCAATTTTGAGGGGTTTTGGTGAAGATTAGACTTGGTTTTGACTGAATTTCAAATTGAAGAAGAAGAAGAAGACGTATATTGCAGAAATTATAGAAAAATTGTAGATAAATTGAAAAAAATTGTAGACTGTTGTTTATTTATTTTTCTTTTATTCATTACCTATTGTATGAAAGTTGAACAACATTGTATAAAAATCGTATTTAAGTGGATGATTTAGTACTGTTTTGGACAAAAATATATATAAAAAATGTGAAACATACATTTCAGGGGAAACATGTCGAGTCCAAATATGTACCCAGTTTGTAAATATTTTGTAGATAAATTATAGATTATTTGTATTCTGATTGTAGATGCTTTATTTTCTATTTT